CGGCTGCTCCCGTCGTGTGCTCCGGGAGAGCGGTCGGGGCGGGGACGCAGGGAGGCGGGTGGCACTCAGAGAAATCCCCCCCTTCACCCATGGGGGGAGCGATTAAATGGGAGGCGGGAGGGACGCCGCAGCTTGGCAGTCTGTATGATTAAAGATAACTGCTAATTGAGTCCCGCCGCTCGGAGTCTCAGGTTCCAAATGGCCGAGTGCAGACTGATTTCAGTGTGTCAGCTAAACCTGTCAGCGCCACGACAACGTATTCCCTGTTTCCCAGCTTCACAGTTCATTGCTTCTTGCATAGCTTAGGCCTTGAAAGGAAATAAAACCCCAAACCTATGTGGCTGCTGCGTATGAGGAAACGCAGGATGACCTGCAGCTTAGGTAACCTGCACCAGACAGTTATATTACGTCCTTGCTCTGCAGCATTCCTTTTCCCAGTATAGAAAGCGGTGGCAACTTCCCTCAACATCAAATAGATCTTCTCAGTAACGGCCGTTTTTTGTTTTCCTGACGGCGGCTCAATTATTCCTACAGAGATGTGGTCCTAAAAGGACCCGATTTTGCCATTTTCTGCATGTGCTGGGGCTGTATTTGCTTGGAGAGATGACGGGGGAGGAGAGCACGTGGAGCCTCGCGGCTGCCGCGCTGCTGGGAGCGCAGCACGCGCGTCGCTGCAGCTGCAGGCGCCGGGGCTGCAGTGCCAGCCCGGTGCTGTGTCAGCGAAGGGCATCTTCTCTCCCTCTCAGGGACTTCTTGAGCGATGACGAAAGCGAGAAGAGAAACGTGCAGTCTTCAGACGACTCCTTCGAGCCTTACCCCGAAAAGAAGTAAGGGGCTTACGGCGTGGTTAGCAGGGCTCTCCGCGGGTGGGCGTCCCCGCCTGGGCGGGGCCCAGCCGGTGCCATCGCTGTCCTCTGTGGCCTCAGTTCCTGGCACGTCCCTGCCTGGGGGTCATGGCACTGCCCCAGCACCCTGTGCTCCCCGAGCTCCCCACCGGGTTGAAGCTGGGCCGCATTCCTCTTCCCCGGGCCTGGCACTAATTACCGCAGCTCGGCTCACGTGTACGTGACGTACGCGTGCTCCTGCTTTGCCAGGTCCAGTGTCAGACCGGGTGTAATACGTGGAGGACTCGGGGGCAGGACTAAAACCAACATCGAGTGTTAACCCACTGTCCTTCCTCCTCCTTGAAGGGTTTCTAGCAAGAAAAGCGACAGCAAGGAAGCAAAGAAGGCGGAAGAGCCCAAAATAAGGAAGAAGCCGGGGCCTAAGCCAGGCTGGAAAAAAAAAATCAAATGTGAAAGGTAATGAGGAGCGGGCGGGGGCTGGGCAGCACCCCCGCGCTCGGCCCACTGGCTGACGCAGGCCTCTGCTTCCCAGGGAGGAGCTGCCCACCATTTACAAGTGTCCTTACCAGGGATGCACGGCTGTCTACAGAGGGGCGGACGGCATGAAGGTGAGCTCAGGGTTCGCTCCTGCCTCGAACCCGTAGCTTGGAGTGTTGCAGAGCAGTTCCTGCACGAGGAGAGGATCCCTGGCAGATGGAATTCACCGCCCGGCTCACCGGGAGTCAGCAAGCGACTGCACGCAGCAGCCCGAGGCCTTTTTCTCCCAGGCGCACCGGGAGCTGCTCTGGGTCTGGAGTCTCGGCAGCAGCCCTCAGACCGAGCTCCGCTGCGTCCTGTTAAAGCCCTGGCTGCCAGGGATAGTTCTGGATGCACATCTCTGGCTTTTCACAGTGAAGCAGCGCTGACGCGCGAGCCTGCGGGTCTCATTTATCGGGGGATCCAGTGGGGAAAACGCAGCCCTGATCTCCATTAGGTGGTCAGCGGTAGAAGCTCTGTCCTTTCTTTACAGAAACACATCAAAGAGCACCACGAAGAGGTGCGGGAGAGGCCCTGTCCTCATCCTGGCTGCAACAAGGTGTTCATGATTGACCGGTACCTGCAGCGTCACGTGAAACTCATTCATACAGGTGCGTCCCGGCAGGCTCCGCTCGCGCCGGGCGTTACAGACACCCCACAATTCGTTGCACGGGCCTCGTAGGTGCTGGGGCAAGACTCTGTGCGGGGCAGCAAGCCATCACACGGGGGATGCGGGCAGGGGAGGAATTCAGTCTCCACCGGTCAGCGTGGGCAGCTGCACCGATGCGTTTCATGGACTAAGAAAGCAGCGGAATCGATGACGCTCTCCCTTTTTCCGTTGCAGAGGTACGTAATTATATCTGCGATGAATGCGGGCAGACCTTTAAGCAACGCAAACACCTCTCGGTCCATCAGATGCGGCACTCGGGAGCAAAGCCCCTCCAGTAAGTGCACCCCAACCCTCCGTTCGTGGCTAAGAGAAGGGATGGAAGGAGCAGTGGAGTTCTGCTGAGCTCCCGCAGTCGCTGCCCTTCGCACGGGGTAATTCCGCGATGCAAACCCTGCCTGCAGCTGGCAGCGTCCTGGCCGAACCGCGTTAAATGTTCATGCATGACACATGCTCCTGCTCCAGAGCTTCGTGTTGCTGAGCAAGTCTTAACACCTCCTTCTATTCCCATTGCCATTCACAGAATCCCAGCATGGCAGGGGTTGGCAGGGCCCTCTGCGGGTCACCCAGCCCAACCCCCTGCCCAAGCAGGGTCACCCAGAGCAGGCTGCACAGCACCGCGGCCAGGCGGGGCTGGAATATCTCCAGAGAAGGAGCCTCCACAGCCTCCCTGGGCAGCCTGGGCCAGGGCTCCGGCACCCTCAGAGGGAAGAAGTTCTTCCTCAGGTTCAGCTGGAGCTTCCTCTGCTTCAGTTTGTGCCCGTTGCCCCTTGTCCTGTCGCTGGGCACCACTGAAAAGAGCTTGGCCCCATCCTCCTGAC